TAGTCTCATCATATAACGCAAATTCACTTTGAACAGACTAGCATTAGTAGACAAAACGCGGCATATTATCGAATATATTATCAGTAAGCGCTCTTCTCTTTACGACTCACGCCAAAATGAACCACACTGGCAATTCGGCCAAGCTAACGGCAGTCACAAAAAGTTCACACTGAAAGTATATATCTAAAGTTGATACCTAAAATCATGGGGACTTTTCAGTGAATTCATATCTTTGCAACGCTTGTACGATCTTTTATTAGGCCGTTTTCGAGAAAGTGAGTACAAAATAAGTGCTTAAATCCACTTAAACTTTTCTCGGGTCTCTAATAAGGCCTACTTGTTACGAGAATTTAGCTGTATGGTTTGACCGGCCATGAGTCACTCGTAGTCATTGCCAAGCACCACTAATCGAATAAGTTAATCTTGGACACTACCAGAGAAGCCGTGGTCGTCGAGCCCTAATAACCTTAAAATTGAATACATTTTAACTGTGAGAACTGTTCTCGCTGCAGACATCGTTCTCTAGATTGCTTTGCTTTTCAAGTTAAGAACTTGTTGTGCCACCATACTATCTAAACGCCTAGCTGATCGGTGATCGATCAGTCCGGCTATATTTCGTCGTTTTCAGGACGACAGTCATCTGGTGAAGTTGTCAAAACTCGACACGCCGCTGTAATTATACAAAAATTTTACTTTCATTCGTTAGGTGTCGTATTTTTCTGTTTAGTTGATTCTTCTTTTATTCTGGGAGACAGGGAATAAAACTATAAAAGTAGCTTGCCTTGAACCCAATTGCATCACACCACTTGGTGATAAGAAATTTTCAGAAAGTGTACATGCAGCCATAGTTCGTCTCATTAAAAAGGCGACACATATTTCACAAACATTCAGACGTCTAATGCACGCATCGATGCAAACTCGGAAAGAAAAAAAAGCACGCTGTTATCTTTGGCACTCCAAATAGGGGATGCGCCATGGCACTTGGTTCCGGACAGCGTGTCTAAGTTTCAGTGCTATTAACAACGGGCTTGTGTCGTGACCAGCATGAGTATCGCGAGAATTACGTTTTTCTTCAATCACGATATAACACCTAAGGTTGTGGAGCGGAAAAATGAAGAAACTTTCAAATCGAAGTAAAAGTCAAGAGAGGAACGTCTCAAACGCAGCCGCGTTTGAGACGTTCTGTTGTCTTTTGCTTCTACTTGAAAGTTTCTTTATTTTTTGCACCACAGTCTCAGGTATTACATTATGATTAATTATCACCAGCTCGCCTTTACACTCACTGTTTTTTTTTTATATTTTTTATTCGTGTTTGCGCAATCGATCAATGTCCCGAAATTGCAAACGAAGGCACAACATGCCAAACGCTGACCGACACAATTGGCACCACTCCCGAGGGGTGGACTCAAAGAGAACAAATCAAGACGCCTGCACTTGAGACGACTGCTCTTTCCTTTTATGTCGGTCATTCGGAAGTACACAGGCGCTAATGAAACGTTCATAGCGATCCTCAAGTTCTGCCCTACTGTGCTTCAAAGAGAAGTCACCGTAGCCCGTGTCACGGGGTTTCTAGCACAGGTGCAAGCGTGAAAAACGGCTCCTACGACATGACTCAGAAGGCTTTGAGTCGCGATCGCCGCCGGGAGTGGCTTCTAGCTCCGTCTGTTGGATCCGAAGCGTAGCGGCTCAAGTTTCGCACCAACCAATACAGTACGCCAGAACCATGAATGGCTCCGGAAGATTGCCGTATCAGGAATATGGTTAAACTCCCCCGTATTATCCTAACATATCAAGGTCAAGAAGGGCGATGTCCCGTAAGCTGAAACGACAGAGCAACCACCAAAAGATACCGGTGGCGCTGCCTCGACGCCAGAAGTTAGAAGCATCAACGAGAGATAGCATGCGGACGAGATTGCAGTGTGAGTATCTGATATAGCGTGATCATGTTTCCAGATTGCGTTCCTTTGGGGCGTACATGCTGCTACCGCGCGCGTTTCTACTTATGATCACTTTTGCCTGTTCAGACATCGAAAACATGATTTGACTGAAGCAGAGACCATGCGCTTAGATATTGAAGGAGGCGAAAAGCGTGGGTACCCAGTGTCAAACAGTAAAGGCGAGCGACATCGAAGTGACATACGTGCTGGGCATATAGCAGTGTCCACCGCATTCTCGTGCACCTGCTATCTCTCCCTGATAGTACCGTTTTTCGCGTCGCAGTTCTCAACTGCAGACCCGCACGCACTGGCTGTGAACCCTGATTCATGAAGTTCCTGCCTAAATGCCTGGAAAAGATAGACCGGTTAAACAAACAAAAAAAAACAGTGTTTCTCGTATGTGTGCTTTTCAATAAGAACAAGGGGACGGTGTGCGTGTTTAAATACACGGTATGTGTACTTTTAAGACACAGCGCTCTCCGAGGTTCCTGCTAAGAATCCTGCCTTGGTCCTGGTTCCAGCCGTCCTCCGACACCCGAGAGACCACTTTGCACCCAATAATACCTGTCAGGCATACGTCGTTGTCCTTGAGAAATCATGAAAGTGACGCTGGCGTCATTGCAGTCTGTGCTTTCTATGCTCCAGGCACCTCCGGTTGCCTCCTTGCAGCCTTGTCTTGTAACGGAATAGCCGATTCGGCGAGGGCGTTGAGTGGTGAACTCGTACATGTACGTCAAGACCCTCACCACGAAAATTAAAGATTTTTTTCCCTAGGTCACCGCCGGACACTCAGACATATACGAAGGAATCAAGGTGCCTCCTCCTTTCACACAAACCACCCACCCTGACGTCCTCATTTAAAGGCTGAACAGCAACATGCGATTGCAGGCACCTCAAGCACAACCTTTGATATTTTTGAAAGACCCAGAAAACAAGACCTTAAAAACACAAGTGCTTTTCATATCACTATCCAATGCCAAGGACGATGCGCTTACAGAAGTGCCAGAGGTCAAAATACGCATGGTCTCTCTTAGAACGCTTTTACTAATTTCTTTCTCTTTGTGCAAAACCTAGGTATTCCCCCCACTCCGGCTGACAGTCATTACAGCCTACAAACGTGTTTAACGATTTCCGAGTACTGAGTCTTAATTTCTACCGCCCTTTTATGTTCCAAGAGCCTTTCATTTAAATAACGACCAGCTTGCCCGACATAAGACAACCCATACCGCAGTAAAATGTCGTACACCACTCCTACCTGGCAAATTACATTTGGATTTCTTTTTTGTTTCTCTGGCACCCCTGAAGACCTCCCGAAAAGAGGGTTAATCTTTCTAATTTGTGCTGAGCTATGAAACCTATACTTGCGCTGAACCTCTTTGCTACTGATTTAAAGTTATCAGCTATTTCATGACAGTAAGGCATACAATTACAACATTCGTCAGGAACAGTTTTTCCACAGGAGCCGAGCTAAACTTTCCCAACACCCTGAGCACAACACTAACAATTTCATCGTGGTGATGGCTCGCTTTCAAAAGACGCAACTTTTGCAACTCAACTGCCTTTCCAACCCCGTGCGTACAGGACTTTTTACGGGCGTTATTGATCACAGACGCAATTACACCCATCTTAACTATTTTCGAGTGACAGCTTTCAGCTGCCAGCAAAGGCTTTGCCGATTCCTTGCCGTACCTCCAGCACAGGACCTTTTCCGCTTGCAACAGGAAGTCTATAAGTACGCAATTTTACCCTGAATGGTACTTTCCTCAGTGAACGTCAAATCCTGGCACTTGTTTATTATACACTTCTTAACCCTGTCTCCCAAAAATTCTTTGAAAGCACAAATCAAAATGCCGTGTACATAGCGACGAACAACGACAGCTGCACTTGGAAAGGACCCCACAACCGTGTCAACGTGAACATGCATCTCCTTTAAACAAGTCTCGGAAACCACTAGCGTAATTGACGACTCCATACACACTCCCTCCTTTTTAGTAAAGAGATAACCTTCAAAGTGTACAACAGTGGACTCTAAATAAAACTCCAGAATGCTAAAGCTCTTTACATCAATCAACGAGGCAAACTGAAAATTGACTAGATTTTCGTCACACCACCTCCTGTCCCTCATTAATAGCTCCGACTTATCCATAGACCAGTATAAGTCCTTCATGTCTAACGTTGTCACATCACACCTTCACTCGTGATGCGGATACAATATTTCAATCAATCGCTCAAAGTTTGTTAGTGACAACGGACTGTTGAGCTCAACCACTGTTAAGCACTTCTAGAAAAAAAACACCTTCAGTCAAGCTCCATTTTTGTTCACTACCATTCTAAAGGGAAAACCAATCCTATGGTCTTTCAGCAGAAATTTCTATCTTATGGTTGCCGGTGATATTTCCCCAATCATTTTTATCACCGTCGAATAATCACACTTTTTGAATACTGCTACCACGTTCCTTTTTGTTTTTCTCAGGTTCCCCTCACACGGTTTAAAAAGTATATTAACCGCTTCAGAAGCTTTTGCTCCAAACTAGTCGTTCTCCAGTATAGCATACCATCCTGATTTGTTCGTATGAAGCATAGTAAGCTCCTTCTGTCCCAACTCTTTCTTTACTTTCCTAAACGTTTTATGACTAACCGTGTCCGTCAAAACAGAGTGATCTACCATTCTAGACACTTTCCTTATTGACTCGTCAATAAATGTTTTTTCCTATTCAATTCACAAATTTTTCTGGCAGTTTCGAAGACATGAGGTGCGATGTCCACTCTAGAAGGCCTCACATTAACGGAGAACTTTGGTCTATTAGCCAGACATGTTTCCGTGTTTTCGTTCAGCTGCTTTCCCGACAACTTGAGAGGCTTTCCTTGGCAATGAATTCCAACATTTGCTGCGACGCCCGCAGTTCGCTTTTCCAAGGGTGCTAACGCTTCCCTTTGAATTCCGCTCCATAGCGCTTCCCCTTTTGACGACCAAAAATTCAACCAGGTAGAATACTCAACAGTATTAACTTAACATAGTCTTTTTCATGTCTCAATATCCAAATACTGTCACACACCTTACAGGCTTGCCTGAGTTGGTCCTGCAGAAAGTCCTGTAGGCCGTTAGCACTTTCTTCTCGCTCGTCCGATTCCCAGCCAGCGATGAAAGGTAAGGCCATCTTTGTTTTTCGATGCACCTTTCCCTTGAGCACAAACACAGAAAACACCCATCCGCGCCAATCTCCACCATCCGCTGCCCCAACTTGCACAGTACTAAAAGACTGCATACACCCACGGACGACAAAAGCAGTGACGAAAAAAACAGCTGCATCCTCGCTCATCTTTTGAAGAAAGGGAAAAAAACACAAAAAAGGTGGTGAAGATCATTCATAGTAATATAGTTTTTCAAGCTCAGCACAAATGAGGACGGTTAACACCCTTTTCGGGTGGATAAGAAGGGCGCCAAAAAAAATATAGAAACCCAAAGGCCCTAAACTCGTCGATCACAAATTTGGAGCCGAAAGTTCGCGGTTCACGCCACACGCCAATTGGACGTCAGCGACAAAAGCGCGAAGTTATCGTCATTATTCTCCAATCGGTGCGCTCCTCAACTTCGACCCTAACTTTGTGTTCGACGAGTTTAGGGCCCCTGACGTAACCTGTCAGGTAGGAGCGGTGTACGACATTCCGTTGCAGTGTGACTTGTCTTACTTCAGGTAAACTGGTCGTTGTTCGAATGAAAGGCTCTTGGAACGTAAAAAGTCACAAGAAAATAAGGCTCAGTACTTGGAAATCGCTAAACCTGTTGTAGACCGTAATGACTGTCAGCCTGGGTGGCAAAACAAGTTTTTCGACTTGTTTCGCTATTTGCTTCGTAATTTATATCCCTTCTTCCCTCCCCTGGCGCGTTAGCTAGAGAGTATAAGGTTACGGGGCATGAGACATAGTAGCGTGTGCCGAAGTATTCCGCGCGTTGGAATCTCAATAGGTACTCGCTCCGCAGTTGTTTATCTCGGTCGGGACATCCGTGCTGCTTTGAGGTGACCGTTTTTATTACACTTCTTCATGCTTCAAGCGGAACAGTGCTTCAAGAAATAGAGATAATCACAAAAAAGAGTGATTCCCGGTATGCATCGCTTAAAGTAAAACCAACTTTTTCGAAATCAGACTATTTGTTTAAACAAAACATAAAAACATTGCAAGAGCCACTCAGAAATCCAGCACTTCCCCATCAAAAAAAAGACAACATATAATTAAGTTTGTGGTTGTTTACTATGCCACAAGTTGATTTTGGCTGACGCTACCGATCCGTTCCGCATTAGCAACACCAATTGAGACCAAGGAAAACTTTCCACTGTCGGGCAACTGTTAGCGTTCGAAGCTAGCCCAAACAGAATGAAATTGAATAGAAATTATACACGCAAACTCATCTGCACCCAACGTTTCAGGTGCCTGGTATGGTTGCTGCTTTTTGACAGATGCGAGTTGTTATCGCGCGTCAGGCATGGTCTCTCTGCTGATCGTTTTAGCGTGAAACGTTCTTTGGCTAGTTGTGGCAGATTTCGTGAAGCCGGATTAAGTTTTCCCGCTAGATTTAGCGGGAAAATTATTGAAATGTGACCTCAACACCAATTCAGTTTCTCCGCTAAATTTAGAAGGAAAAATGACGTCACAACTTTGTGACTATCGCTCTCCGAGATCTATTTACCTGTTTCTACTTCATCGTCGATTGAACATTATGCATAAGCCTGAGGACTACCAAGCTCCATTTCCCACCGAAACAGTCGATGCTGTTGCTCTTTGCTACACTGAGCCGACGGCAACTCGAATTTTCGTGTTCTTTGAGATTTAACTGGAATTTCCTTTGTTTCCAAGTTAATTTAGACGTCTGATCAGCGAGAGGGCTCGAGTAGTGGCGCGGCTGTTTTTTCCCGCAGTCGCAGTCATTGGGCCGCCGCGTGGTCGACGCGAACGTGGCAGCAGACGACCGAAGTGAGTCTGAAACAATAAGATGACTGCAACTGCTCTTCCGCGCTTGCTGACAAACTAAGACATCGCAAACAAACCAATCTTATGAAGTTCAAACATGACAGGAGAATCCAAACCGATACCGGTGCGTCTCAAACGATGACTCACGATGATCTGCGCGCCCCGCCGCCCTAGGCAGCCGGGAAGCCGGAGAGCGATGACTACACGTAGCGTAGCGGCGCCATCACTCCCGGAATGCGCGCTCCTGCGCAGTTCGCTCGGTGAGATTGGTCTATTGACTACGTGAAAATTAATTCTATCTTTTTGTGTGTGTGTGTGATACAGGCCTACTTTCTGCCCAATTATAGAGATACCGCCGATCCTTTTTGCAAAATTTGCAATTCGAGGAATGGTACTGACCGTCAGATCATAAGCGTGACCGCGCAGGCTGTCGTTCGAGGGTTTGTGCTTATTTTTATAATTATTTTGTTGACTTTCAAAAATTCACTGTTGCTCCTGACACTTGGCTGAGTTTATAAAGCACTTTCAAATCTGGCTGCGAACATACAAAGCTTTCTGTAAAGTCAAATATTTCACTCTTTATTTTATTCATTATAATATTATAGTATTTACAATCAAACTTACAATTTGTCTCTGTGGTGTCTGGTGTACAATAAGCTTATACACCAGACTTTACGTTTCAGCGAAATTCCCACACTGTGCTTATCATGTTTGAAAGTCCAAATTATGGAATCTGTTCATTTTCGTTGAAATGTCAGTGTTTTTTCTTTATGAACGAGCGATTTTAGATAACCTAAAGGACAAATTAGGTCATGATGTTGATTCGCGCGGTGTGTTTTGGTCCTTATGCTTTTGAAATAAAAAAAAAACAGCGCAATGTAAGAAAAAATGATGAAGTGGAAGATATATGACCAAACGGTACCATATATGAGTGAAGCAGCATTAAGCAATCGATACGCTAGTCGCCACATAAGCAAATGTCACTCTTCTGGGAATTCAATCTGTGAGGAGAGTTAAAAAAATTCTGCTCAAATTTGTTATCTTATAGATCATGTTGTTTCCCGCATCTGCCGCTTCACGCCTTGCAGTCTTGCTGATTAAGCTACTCAGTTATACTTTGAACCACTGCTTCGTAGAACCTACGGCGGCTAAATCATAACTTTTTTTTTTTGCAGCTGCAAATGTCCGATAGGCTAGCGAAAAACAAATTTTCAGCTAACAATTATCTTCAGAACCTGCTAACATGACAAACAAGTGCATTGCGCACATGTCTCCTTGTTTACCTTTCCGCATGTTCAGAGGTTCACCTCCACTACCGTCAGCGTTGCCAGCGATATCTAAATAAATTTACGCAAAAAGAAAGAAAAGAGGGCTTTATTTCTCGGTCGTGAACGAATGCCTTGTACTCATGTAGGAAATCACTTCCAAACTGTCCTGTTCACTGTAGTATAAAGGATATGTTCACGGCGACAATGCTACTTCTCGTTTTTTATCGAGCACACGGCAAAAACGATGTTTATGCACACAAAAACATCCTATGAAATGAATGAATTAAAACCATTTGCGAAATGTTTCACAAATATTTCTCTTTTATGCAAAGGGGTAAATATTTTTAAGACTACTACGCAACTATATAATCGTGCAAGCATGGCCTCCTAGCGTGTGCCCCATGCGTACCAGCACATGCAGCCTACTCTTGAATTTAGCTTTTATGATGCAATAAAACACGAAAAAACGGTGAAAACACAGGCGAGCTGGTGAAAAACTTTCATATTAACCCGAGACAGACACGGAACGATAACAAAACGGACAAATTAACAACTCTCAAAAAGAGTTTTTAATTTATTTGGGCAACGAACACTCTTACATGTATCTCAAGACCCTCACCACAAAAAAAAATTAAACACCTTCTTTCCACTTGGTCACCACCGGACACTGAGACATATACGAATGATTCAGCTGCCCGCTCCTTTCACACAAACCATCCACCCTGGCGACCTCATTAAAGGGATGACCAGCCACATGCGATTACAGGCAACTCAAGCACAAGCTTTGCTATTTTTCGGAAAACCCACAGAACAAGACCTTAAAAACACAGGTACTCATTATAGCACTGTCGAATGCCAAGGGCGATGCGCCTACACATTTGCCAGAGGTCAGAATATGCATGGTCTTCCTTAGAACTGTCCTACTATTTTCTTTGTCTTTGTGCAAAATCTAGTTATCCCCCCACTCCGGCTGGCAGTCATTACAGTCTACAAACGTTTTAACGATTTCCGAGAGTAGTGTTATATGATGCACGATGGAACCAATAGTACACAAATTCTCGTCACGTACACAGACGTAAACAAAATCAGCGCACGTACTCGGCACGTGTCTTGGTTCCATCTTGTATCATCCTCCCACGTGCCCATAACGTCACGTTCCCACGCCCCGTCCCCACGCCCATGGGCCCTCCCACGGTCCTCGGACCCCAAGTTTTTGGACCTGTTAATCATTCGGCAGAGGGTGGGTCGCATGATGATGACTTCAGAGGTAGAGTGGCCTCTCCCACGGCCCGGTCCTCGGACCCCAAATTTCGGGACCCGTCACTCATTTGGTGGAGGGTGGGTCACATGATGATGACGTCAGAGGTCGGGACAACACTCGGCACACGCCTCGATTTCATCCTGTATCATCCTCCCAAGTGACCGTGACTTCACACTGCCACAGCCCCACCCATGGCCCGGTTTTCGACCCCAAATTTCGGGGCCTGTCCCGAAATGAGTGTTCCCACAGGGCGAGAATTCACTTGAGTCTTTCGCCAGAGGGTGACGTGACATGATGATGACGTCATACCGCATAACGGTCACATGACGACGATGGACATCTGACATTTGAATCGCCGCGCGGTAAATGAATTTTATTCGCTAAAAAAGGCTCTCCGGCGGCTGGGAATCGACCTCGGCACTTTGTGCACGGGAGTCTGACACTTTACCGCCTGAGCCACAAGCACTTTTTTTTTCTTTTTTTTTTTGCGAAGCAAAAATAAATTTATTTCCATCATATTTACTGGTTCACTCATGCTTCTTCGACATCTTAACTCGTCCTAGTATTTCGTACGTCGAGCGCGCAATTCAGACCACGTGTTAGAGCTGTCGCGACGCTTGGATTTTGTAACGGAATTGCTGAGTCATTCGC